TGGATTGATCTTGTGTATCCCAGGGTGGACTTGAACTCCTGATCTTCTTGCTAACTCCTCCCAAGTGCTAGGATTAAAGGTGTGTGACACCACTGCCTGTCTATGGCTATCTAGTGGCTAGCTCCACTCTTTGAACTTCAGGTACGCTTAATTTGTTAAAGCACAAGTATCACCACAGGAGAGTGCCATTGAGTTAAGGCAAAAATGCAGATGTTGGGATGGTGAACACCAGACAGTTTGAGCCCTTCGTCCTCTGTGCAGAGGCTCTTTCCCTCATAAACTCTGAACTCCCATAGATGGTTCTGGGTCAAAGACATAGTGTCAGTACTAACAGTTGAAAGGTATGGGGTCAGGGCTTCCCTTCTGCTTTCTAAGTGGAGTCTGAGTCAGTATTGGTCTCTCTTCACATTATGACCCTGATTGGTTTAGGCTGATGGGCTTCTCTAAGAATTACCAATAGAAGAGAGAGAGAGAAAAAAAAAAAGATTAGTTATGTGATGGAAAGATCAGCTCTTGAGAACCATGAATCCCAAATATCCATCTCCTTACTCTGACCCAGCTCTTTGTCTTGGTATCCCCAGAGCAGTGTCTGGGGACAACTTGATTCACCCTGATCCGTGTCCTGGCCTTGATCAAGATGTTCTTCTGAGTCCCAACACAGTGGGCAATATGTAAGCTATTCTAGAGCATTTTGATCTCAATATGTCTACACACACTTAGAAATTATGTGGAACTAAAGGTAAACATGCCTACATGACATATATCAATCCATACTGAGTGTGTTAGGAATTGAGAATGTTGAGACCCTAACTTTGTTGAAGATAATGCCAAATAATGGCAACCTGGGATCAGAAGTTTTATTTGAGGATCAATACATACTTGTTCTTATCAACGGAGACATGCAGGGCTTGAGAATTCTTATCCTTATGATTGTCTTTAGGAGACAATCATGTCAGAGACACCAATCCATTTCTACTAGCAGAACTGAGATCTCAGACACTGGGAATTCGGAGCAATGGTTCTAGCCAACCTTCTTCAACTCCCTGTCCCCAGGACCAGTGTGCTCCATTCACTGCATCTGAGGCTTATTCAGGGGAGTCACTTCCTTGTCTGAAGGGCCTGTGATCCAAGAAGGATCCCAGAGGCCAGACTTGGATGCTTTCTTGCTGAAATATGACATGGAGTGTGAGTTCTGGGACTCTCTGAGCCAGTTCCTGACTCTCCTGCAGGTTGGACTCTGGTAACAGATATATTGGCCAGTATGTCAAGTTAGCATGGATGCTGAAAGGAGTCAGCAGAACAGTGAGAGAGATATGTAAGTTCTGCACACAGGTAGAAAAAGAGGATCAGGACACCCCTACAGAGATGGCAGGATATGGGGAAGCTTTAGGTAGAGGATTGCTGTCATGCCCTGTTGTTGAAGGGACACTAGGGTTTGCTGGGAAATGTGCTCCTTGCCTGAGGCAGGTATCTGTTCCACAGACACAACTGCAGGAAGATCCCCATCACATGCTTCAGAAACCTGACTTTCCTGCCCTGTTCCCCTCTTTATGGCCTCTGCTCCTGGTACTGCTTAACAAAAGTTAGAGAATCTGCCATGTGCATTTCCCCTGGGATCCAGAGAAGCACACAAGAGACAATGCTCAACTGTGCCTTAGGGCCACAAACACACTCTCCCTTGATTAATGTTCTATTGAAACTGGAGCAGAATCTCCATCCCTCAGGAATTGTAGACAGTGTCTAGACTGTCAATTAATTTAGTTTTACAGAGACTACTATTGATTTCGTCTACACCATTCCTCTTGATCTCTGCTGTGACCCTCTCTGTAGACAGGTGTTAACATAGGATTCCCTTACTTCATTTTGAAGGATTTCCAGTTTCATTGAAAGTGATTCGATGCTCTGAAATCCTGTGCCTATGCTTTGGTGACTACTGTGAAATCCTCTAGGGAGTTAAGCAGTTTTTCAACAGGTAGTGCCCAAATTATATATTCCACATAACTTTCCTTACATAAACCTACTTCCTGTCTCAAATTCAAATGCTTAGTTAAGATATCTGTAGAATGGCAGTAGCGCAGAACAGCTTTGTCCAATACTTATGATTTTTTAAATTATCTTTTTAATTCTTTTTTTATTTATCAGATTTTAATGACTTCCTTTGGAGACAGGGTCTCAGGATGTAGCCCAGGTTGTTCCTAAACTTGCAAATCTCCTGTTGGCAGAGCTCCTCCTGCTGGCATTACTGACATATAGTGTCTAAAGGCTGTCAGAAACCAGGCTGGGACTCTAACAAATTTGGTGAGAATACCACAGACATCCATGGTTAGACAATGACAGAAACATTCCTAGCTATGTCAGTGACCATCAACAAGAGAAGATAAGGACACCAGATTGAAACACAGAACTGAGAACAAATGTAATTCCTGTAGTACCATGAATCTCAATATCTCTTGATGGAATATCAGAATCATGACTGCCAACATGAAAGAACAGCAAAGACACTGGACAGACCCTACAAATGCCTGAGATCTTTTGATCACATGTCCTGGTGAACAGGTTTATTGAGAGAAAGGGGATGAGGATGACACAGGTGGAAAGGGACTGTGTGAGAGCCCAGGGTGGAAGGATCAACAACTGTCCACACACTGTCCTAACATGTCTCCACACAGCCTTCAAGTTCAGGAGAGGTAATAGAGTTAGCACAGCACACTCTATTTACTTAGATTCCGTCAAGTTCTGAGACGTTATTTTCTCCATCAAGTTTTACCCATCTTTACCACACTAATCAAAAATATACTCTGAGAGAAGTGCCATAATCATAAAAAAAAGTTTAATTTCAAGAAAGATGCATGAAGATGTAGCTCAGTGGAAACTAAAGTTCAGGCAGGGATGGAGGTTTGCCAGCCCAGCCTCTGTTGAAGCAGCAATGAAGACTGGGGAAGGAATGATGGTCAGTGTGTGGATGGGACTTATTGCTGCTCAGGACAGGGCTGAACTCATCACCTGTTTACACTGTACTCACAGGAGACAGACACATAGTCACAGTCAGATGCAGGAAGAGAAGTCATCAGTTTTGGAGGCCACAGTGGAAAAAGAGAAAACAGAATAAATCTTGTTAGGCTCAGTGCAGCTGTCTTATCCTGTAGAAGAAAACAACAAGGCAGAAACTCAGATCAGTGTCTTAAATGGTGATATACTGAACAACTCATCACACACTCAAACTGTCCCAATCTCAGGAGTCCCCACACCCCAGGGTTCTATTTTCTGACCTCTCCCTGTCTCACATCAGGCCTTTTAGGGTGTCACTTTTAAAGATATAACAGAAGGATGGACATCCTAGAAACTCTAAGTAGAAAGTGATACAAGAGCAGATCAAAGCCTCTGAAGATGGAAGTAATGAGGAGGTATGGGCTAGCTGAGAATCTCCATGGCTCCTGTATATACTGCCGTAAGTGTCTCAGGGAAGAGCCCCTAGTATAATGACTGGCAAGCCTGAACAAGGCTGTCTCACCATTTACCCCTGGTAATAATCCCTTTTGTTAGAGCTCCTGGGAGCATCAATATCTGCAAGGCCAAGAGAAATCTTCTGGTCCTTATCTCTTGGAAGTTTCTAGAACTGTGACTGTAGATCTAGAGAAAGATGAGGAAAATTGATAGTAGATTGTACATGAACAGGATTGACTGGACTCCTGGATAACTGTTCTAAGTAGGAACCTTTCCATTTGACCTCTGAGAGCTGAGGATCAGGTCTCTGCCACCTTTATCATTGTAGTGATGAAGTGAAGAATCTGTTCATTATTTCCTTCATGCTTCACAATAGAGTTAATGCCAGCACATCAGCACAAGACTGAATAAGCAACTGTGTGGAGGAATCTTTGCTCTCATGTGACAGGGCACACTCTCAGCTGGACCTGATATTCCCATGGAGACTTGAACTCAGACCCTGCCCTTTCCTTACCTTTAGTCCTCCTCTTCCATATCAGAAAAGTCACCACGGCTCCCATAAGCACAGCTCCAAGAACCAGGCCAGTAACAATTGGCATGATGGGGACAGAGGGCTGAGGAGGTTCTGACAGAGAATGGAAGGAACAGTGAGGCCTCTGACCTCCAGCTATCAGTCATGACCCTGATCCATTTCTCCCAAAGCCTCCCACTCTCTGTGTAATAGGCTCTTTGCCCACACTCACTCCTTACCCCATCTCAGGGTCAGGGTCAGCCCTTCATGATTTACTTGACATGTGTAATTCTGCTCCTTCCCAGAAGGCACCACCACAGCTGCCCACTTCTGGAAGGTTCCATCCCCAGAAGGCCTGGTCTCTATCACCTCCATATTCAAACTTTGGTTGCTCCCATCCCTCTGCCAGGTCAGGGTGATATCAGCAGGGTAGAAGTCCAGGGCCCAGCACCTTAGAGTGATTTTCCCATCAGCTCTGACCTTACGGGTCATGTGTATTTTAGGGGTATCTGAAGGGAATAAATTAGAAAATTCAGGCTTTTTGCATTCTTCCTGAATATTCATCACTGTGCACGTGACCTTGGTTTGAATGGATGAATGGGACAGTTAGCTAGAAGGAGAGATGCTGACCCCACACATCAACCTAATCTCAGGATAAGGATGGGGCAATCTGTTCCTTGGAAAGTTTCAGAATCACCATGAGCCAGCACAGAGCAGGGGACTCTGGATCTCCCTCTAGGAATATGGACTTCTGGTTCTGACTGGATGGGGACTCAGACTCAGCAACACTGGACTCAGACCTCCACAGTACATGGACAGTGAACAGACGTGACAGAGATCATGGTTCACAAGGCAAATGGAAGGGAAATGCTGCCTAATTGACAGACTGATCTATCCTGGGTGAAGGCTTAGCCCTCTGGAGAGCTCCTCTCTCTTGTTGAATTAGGAAACCCGTGATACTTCTTCACCTTTGATGCAAGACTGACTATTCCAGCTTCCCCCTGCTGAGGAGGAATCCTCAGGGGACAGGGGCTCCAGTCTCAGTTCAAGATTGGCAGTTTCTTTCCTTACCTGTTCTCAGCAAAATCTCCTTCCCATAGACCAGCTGTCTGAGGACCAACTTCACACCTTTATGCTGCAAGTAAGTCTTCAAAGATTTTGCAAGACCTGATGCCTCCCAATTTTGCCTCAGCACTTCAGCTGCCTTGCCGACTGCAGTCCAAGTTCTCAGGTCCTCGTTCAGCACAACGTAATCATGGCCATTGAAGACGAATTCATATTGTATATGACTGAGGTTCCCTCCAGGCAGTACATCGCAGGCCATCAGGATCTGGATTGTGTGATTACCTATCCAAGCCCCTACTGTCAGCCACTCTCACAAGGCCAGGTCCCTTGGGGCCCTCCAGTGACTCAGTCCCTCCCATTTGGCCTTTGTAAATGGGCACATTTGAGCTTAAATTGTGCCGAAAACCAGGTCAGTATCCCAAGGCTCTCTGTAGCCTCGTCTATGCAAGTTACATTTTGCTCGGGAAAATATTGGATATGGGGAACTGGAGCAAAACCACTGGAAGCTTGAAATTTGGGATTTCTGATTTGGGTCCACTCACCAGTTTCAATTAGATTGTAGATGTGAAGCATTTTCTTCAGTATGTACTTGTATGTTGCCATCAGCTTCAGAACTTCTTCTGTCCTCTGGTCCCAATACTCTGGCTCCTGCTGATCCACCCATGGTGCACAGTGCATCAGTCTCGGAGGCTCCTCTCTGCTGTTGAATCTCTCAATATGAATGTCATTAAAGTAGACAGCATAGATGAGTTGGGGTTCCAAGAAGTCAGGCGAGGTGAGGAGAGTTTGCAAATAGCTCAGGGAGTGTGAACCTAGGTGCAGTGGATCTTTAGATCTAGACCTCCCTCCTAGTACCCTGTGCTGCTCCCCACATTTCTCCTAAAAGAGAAGCGAGCAGGGACTGGGGCTGTGATATTAAATAAATAAAGAAGGTCCTGGCTAGGACAGGGGAGAGACAGATTTTCCTGTGCTGCAGCCCCAGGGTCCTTTCATCTCCCAGGTTAGGTCCTTTACCTCCTGACACCCACACTCACCCTTTGGATGCCTGGTCAGGGTCAGGTTGGCCAGGAGCAGCAGGAGGAGAGCCTCAGGGATAAAGGTCTTCATCCTGCTTGAAGAGTGGACACTGAGTCTCTACTAGTGTGTGTTCAGTTTATAATCTTGATATGGATGAGGCTGATTGGCTTCTCTAAGAATTCCCAATGGTAGTGATAGAGAGCATTGTGGTTGGGTCATGGAAAGATGAACTCCTGGAAGAGAAATCTCCTGGGCCCTGCTTTCCTGGCTCAGACCCAGCTCTGGGACCTCAGATCCTAGGAGCAGTGTATGGAGACAAGTTGCTTACTCTGGTTGTTGTCCATCTCATTCTGGTCAAAATATCCTTCTGAGTCCAGACCAGAAGCCATTGAGTCAGTAATTCTCACACTGAGATAGCAGGATGTCTACAGAGTCTTACAAATTGATTGCCCTCAAATGTACTTATGCTTGTGTGGATTGTATCAATCCACATTCACTACATTAGGAACTGAGAATTTTAAAACATTTGCTTCATTGAACATTAATGACAAGTGCATGTAAGCATAATGTTTACAAAAAGTAATGACTATTTTCCAAAATACAATGATATTGTAAGACTAACAGATGTTTACATGTTTGCCTCTACTTATCCTCATCTTTCCTACAAGACATATCTTGGATTCTGACTCTCCTTTTTAACATTTAGTTTTATAGACAGTGTAGGAAATGTATCTTAACAAAAATGTACAGAGAAAATAGATTTAAGCCCTATTTTTATTTTTTGTTTATGTGTATACTTCTTCATGTATGGGTGTGTGAGTGTTGGGAGTACAATAGTCTGTGGAGATCAGAAGATGCTCTTAGTAACCCCGAAGTAAGAGGCCCAGGAGCTTGTGACCTCAGAGACTTCTGGGACTCCAACTGTGGTCGTCTACACAGTTTAGCGGTCTCTCCATACACAGGAGAGAGTGTTTTTATTAACATCTTCAATTTTTTACTTTTTTCTTTACTTTTCTTTTTTTAAAAGTGGCCAGGAAGTCACAGACATCCACATGCCTCTGTCCTCTGAGTACTGAGAGAAATCCATGTCCACCATACTCTGCTCACTGGAGATGTTTATCTTTGGTACTTCACTGCATTCATTCAGGTGCTGCTTACGTTCTGGAACTTAAAATATCACTGAACCCTCCATAGTTTGCTGCATCCATGTCCATAGGAGGATCAAGTTCATTGAGTGCATTTTGTGTTATTAAATTTTATTTTAGAAATTAGAATATTATTGACCAAGTTCATCAGTGTGCATATATTTATATGAATCTATATCCTAAATGATGGGCAGATAATGAGTGCAGAGTGGTCCTTATTCACTTTACCACTCTCATATTCAAGATGAGGCTGACTGGCTTCTCTACGAATCCCAGTGGGAGTGACAGAGACCAGAAGTGTCATGGAAAGGTTAACTATTGGAAGAGGAATCTCCAGAGCCCTGCTTCCCCACCGCATATCCATCTCTGTGCTGTGGTATCCTGGGAGCGGTGTCTGGAGACAAGTTGCTTACTCTGATACCTGTAATTGTCTTGTTGATAACATGCTTTTGACTCCTAGCCTGGATGCTGATCTGGCTGACAGAATCAAGGAAGCAAAGGAAACCTATCTATCGCTAAAGTGTCCAGCTCTGGTTCCTGATCTGGGGTTCCTCACTGTTATGTCATGGTTCTTTCCTGTCCAGCTCAGTCCACAGCAATAAGCCTTGGCTTCCTGGTGATCTTATCTCACAGAAGTCTGAGGGAGGCAAGGAAATTTGGATGGGAGTTGGCTGCTGTCTCGGATGAAAGGCGCAAGTCACCATGCCTGGCTGTTTTCAATGTGGCCTTAAATTCACAGAGATCCAGACGGATTTCTGCCTCTGGAATGCTAGGATTAAGGCGTGTGCTATCACTGCCTATCCTCTATGTTTAATATTTTGGCTGTTCTGTCTCTGACCCCAGATAAGTTTATTAGAGTGCACAATATTTCAGGGAACACAATACCACCACATGGCTCAGATTTTAATTCTTGTCCATTGACTTGGTGCTGTGTTCCAGATGGAGAAGTGATTCTAGGATTACCTGGGTTAAGGTCTGCTGGCCTGAAATGGATGGGATGTCACACACACACACACACACACACACACACACACACACACACACACACACACAGGAATACACACAGGAGAAGATCTCTACCACATGAATAAACAATTTGCCTTTCTTTCTCGAGTCTCCAATTTTAGGGGATCTGCTTCTCAGATTTACTGCTCAATAAGTGATGGAGAATCTGCCATGTGGATTGCCTTGTTCCAGGCCCTGGAAAACAGAAATGAAAATCACCATGCTGGGATTTGAAAAGATGGCTTGTTTATGGCCATGTCAGAGGAGCAGCAGGTGGCAATGGACTTCAGGGTGTCAGCGCACTAGGATGAAAATCCCTTATAATCTTGGATAGGAGAGGCCCTTGCACCACAGACTCCAGAATGTCTTTTGCTTCTGCTGTGCTGCCACGACTCTGTATCCATAGGCAAGTCGGACACTGTTTTCCAAACAGGAAAAACCACAGGGGAACTGATCCCCAGCACCCTCCAGAACCCAACTGCACATTTTTCACACAAACAACTTAACTGGGATAGGACAAAAAAGGGCATTTAAAATTAAGGCAGCAAACTTACTGCTGCCAACATGTCCTCCCTTTTTATTTTTAAAAGGAACACATCGGCTAGAACAGCCTGTGGAAGATCAGATAGCCCCTGCCTTAGGTCACCTGTTGCAATCCCCAAACTTACCCGTCATAGGGGGCTGCCCTTATGCCCCCTGCCTTAGGTCGCATGAGGACCACAGGAGTTTCCCATCTCTGGGTACTATCTGTCCAACATTTGTAACCACACTTGTGCAGATTCAGAGGGTGGCATGGCCAGAAGGGCTTGCTTGGTTACCTGTCGGTGTTGAGTGAACTGGTGTTGCCATCAGCATAGCAGAAATAACCCAATTCCCATACAGCCTGCACAGATTAATAAGAGGGAAACAAACCCTGCCCATCTAGTAATCCACCCAGTAGCTTTAGACATTAATGACCACCAGGTCTACTCATTTACAGGAACAACTCTAGTTTCATTAATCCTTACAATGACATGTGCTAACTAAATTGTATAGTTCAAAAATGTTCCATTATACAAACTTCTGACATTCCATAAGCACCTAACATATGTTTGTGTATCCACAACATATCTATTTATTCTTGTAACAGTGCTGCTTGCTGATTAAGCATCAAGATTCCAAAGTGAAATTGTCCATTCAATGTTTGCTGAATGTCCAAGGCACCAGCCACCCTCTCAGATAATGGGTTGATAACGGAAGCCTGTTGAACAGTCTGAGATAAGGCAAGCCCAGCAGCTGTAGCAGCAACAGCAGATGCAGCCACAGCTGCAACAATTGTGGTAGTAATGCCAAAGTCTCTTCTTGTCTTCTTCAGTTGCAGTTGATCAGTTCAGTTGATCAGAAGGACTCTCCAAAGGCAAATACAGGTATTCTCACAATCACTGCATGGGACCAATTTTCACTCCAGCAATTATTTAAGCTACACTTCAGAACTAAACAGTTTAGTAGTCCCTCTCCTACCACATCAGCATTCCAAACAACAAAAAGGAAAGGAGCACGTGGAGACCCACAGCATGGGACATGCTGGAACTACCTACAAAGTCTGCCAAAGAAGTACCACTCAGGACTAGGCAATCATGAAAGCTGCCTTTCAGATTCAAGGAGATATCATTGGTCCAATTAGAAGAAAATACAGCAGGAAAAACAGGGCTATCAATACTCACAGGCAGTAACACAGGTGGATTTCTTACTAAACTCCATAACGGCTTAGCTTCTCCCTGAGGCATCATCTTTTAAAGTTAAAGAAACATGCTCCCGGACCACCTGTCCAGCTTGATTCTAAGTTTCAATGACTGGATATGTTTAATGCCACACACACCCTTTTTTTTTTTTTTTTTTTTGCCTGTATCTGTCCTCTGATTCTTTTTCCTCCCCTATCCAATGAGGATTTCTTGGCGGGGGTCGAGACAATAGAGGCTTAGAAGGTGCTGACTATGCTTTCACTTTTGCACGGCACAATTTCTGTTGTAGTTCCTCTATCTCTTTTTCTAGCTGCTCTTCCTCCTCTACTAAATCTGAGACAGAGGCAAGATCATCATGTTCTTCCTCATCCATTAAATCTTTCACAAATATCCTTATACACTCTTTACAGGGGACCTGGACCTCTTCCTTTTCCCCTTTCAAAGATTCATTCATCTCCACCCCTGAGTGTTAGCAAATGCTTGCTCCCACTCTGAAAGTCGCTCTTTCACTTTCACTTTATCAGTCAGAAGAGCATCTTTCACAAGTCTCCATAGAGAAAATGCAGCTGTAGGAAATATATCTGCGCCCTTCTCTTGCAACATCTTTTGTAAATCTCTTTTTACTTGTAATATTCAGACCTCCTCCTGTCAGAAACCAAGGACTTGCTTCAGCTATGGTATCCACAAATGTGAGTGCGGTGCTAGACTTTATTCCTGTTCCTTGCTTACTTAACAGTTTCCTTACCTCAGTGGCCAACTGAGCTTTTGCAGTAGAATTACCCATGGTACGCACCAATGTTTCAATCCTCCACCCCTCCTTTTAGGGTGAGCCTAGTTCGCTTACCCCTTTTCCCAGGTCCTGGTGGTGACCTTCACTTGCTGCCACCTGTGCAGCTGGAGCACGAAATCTGGCGAGGGACACAGAGGTTAAACAGCACTCTAGACATCCATTTTCAGTTCATTTTCATTTTCAGATACATTTAAAATTAAGGCAGCAAACTTACTTACACGTTTGCTGCTGTCATCCTTCTCTGGTATTTGGCAAGGTGAGAAAGGGTGTGGGAAGATGCCCAATGACTATAATGTATTGTGTTCATCTCTTGGAAACATCCTGTTCTACTGTTCATTTTTACCTATGGACTATTATGAAGATAATTCCTTCCTAAGCTGTACTGACTAATTGATGATAATAATAATGTTAGTTTAAATAGAGTTTTGATGATTAAAAATAAAACAAAGAAGTATCTTACAGTAGAACACATGAGTTTCTATGGAGGAGTCACATAGACTGCGGGTTAGGGTAATGATGAAGAAAAACAACTGAATACTGATATTCCAGCTAGCTTAAATTCTTTTAACCTTAATGTTGGGAGATGTGTTCACAGGTTT